TGTGTCTCTTAAGTTATTTTTAACCTGCTGGCCTGAACATGGAGTTTTCTGCCTTAAAGGTGCAGTTGTGCCGGGGATCTGTGTCCAGCCTGGGCCACGCACCCTCTAGCCCTGCAGTGTTTTGGGGAGGAATTAGCCTAGCAACCGCAGTTTGGGGTTTTATTACTCTGCAGTAGTCCTCTGCTGTGGGCTGGGGGGGGGATAGAAGAACCAACCACCCCTATGTGAGCAACTGCCCTGACTTCCCCAGCCCACTGATGCTGTGAAAGGGGAAGGTCCTCCCGTGACTGAGGGGCTGTGGGTCCCAAGGCACGAGCGTGGGATGCAGGCGCTGCCTTCCTCTCCCCGCCCTGTGGCAGACTCGGGGTTCATCCTGTTGAATAAAGTTGGGTGGGGTGGATGAGTGGAGCGTGGTGTGCCTGTGCGTCCCGCAGCTGCCGCGGGCAGAGGGTTGAGGGTTTGGGACTGAGGGAAGCTGCTGTGCCGTGGGTGATAGGGTGGGTGTGGGCACCCGCTGAGCTCCAGTTGGTGCCGCTCGCCCACTGAAAGCGCAACCCTCCCAGCTAGTGTCGTGTCCCCGTGAGCCCAGCTGCAGCCCGAGGGCTGTCACGGGGCCGTGGTGCCACGGGCTCAGGGTGGCTGGGAGCGGAGCTCTGTGCTGCTGCAGATAAAGCTGGTGGAGGCCGTGGAGCAGCTCACGGCTGCCCAATAGGTGGAAATGAGCCACAGATAAAGGCATACAATATGTCTGGGGCTGTTGTTTAGGCCTCTGATGGCTAAAAATACCCTGGAGAACATAAAATATGGGCGATATCGCTGCTGTTGGCCACTGGAGGAAGCGGAGAGGGCGGCACCCGGCTGTGCTGCCCTTGATGCAGAGCCTGCCCTTGGCTTCCCCTCCCTGCTGGGGTGTGGGGGTGAAATCCTCGGGGGGGGAGGCAGTCTGGGGTGCACACTGCCAGCTCTCAGCCCTCCCCTGCACCCTCCATGGGGATGCTAGGGCAAATCCTCTCTGGGGGGCACGCTGTTCTGCTCCCACCGTTGCCGTGCGGGGTCCTCCCAGGGCACCCCAGTGCAATGGGGGACCCCAGCCCAGGGCCCACCGAGCATCAGCAGTGCTGCAGAGCCCCACAGAGCTGCGGGTTTCTGAGGAGAGCAGCCCAGGCTGCTCGGCCAGGAGGAAACGCCGGTGTGAAAGGTAACGCTGCAGCCCTGCCGTGTGTTTACCCACTGGCAGTGCTTCCCCGCTCCCCTTCCCTCTCCTGGGCTGATATTTTTGTTGGCACTGGGGGAGCATCGCGCTTTTCCGAACGGCTCTGCAAGGTGGAAAACAAGACGGCCGAGACCCCCCCCCTTGCCTGGACACAGTGCCCGGTCACGGGCAGTGCACAAACACGGCTCCGTGTCCCACTATTGTTCCCGTGTTGTGACAAGGCGACTCGGGGCGGCCAGTGTGACCCCGCATCGCCGGGACCCGCACGCCAACAACAACAGCAAGGGGGTCACCTGCGATGGGGCCAGGGAGGGGGTGGCAGCAGCCCCCCAGAAAGTGGGCGGGTGGCCCTAAGGCAAATAAAAGTTTGCAGCTGATAAGGGCACGGGCTGGCCTGTCAAAGGCCTTTGGCACAGCCCAGGGACAGATAGCAGCCGGCTGGACACGCACGGCCTTTCTCACACCTCCGTGTTCCTTTCTGAGTAAACAGGTCCCTCTGGTCCTTTTCTGGGAACAGCACTTGCTCTCCCAACGCCTGCCCCTGTACGGTGATGCAGACCCCTGCCATGGTAGGGGCAGGCTGGGGGCTGCAGTGAGGGGCTCTCCATGAGCACCCCTGAGACGCAGCTCCAGAGCTCTGGGATAACGGGCAGCGAGCACAGCCCCAAGGACATAGGGTGAAGCACAGGCACTGGGACCCAATGCAGCCACCCAGCTGGGACAGCAGCAGCACCCATGGGGTGGGAGCGCTGTGGCGCTGGTCCCACGGCCACTCCCAGGCTGTGACCCCCACGCCGGTATTGCCCTCAGCATGGGTTTTCAGGAAGGGCAGCTTTTGTACCCCCACCTAAGAGCCTCGTGGGGTTTACCCCCATCCAAGGCTGGATGTACTGTTCAAAATGCAGCTGCAGCCCGCCCTCACAACTGCCCCGGTGAGTCGGAACCTGGGGGTGCACAGGTGTGGGGTGTCCCTTGGGCACATGGCCAGCATTTCTGTGCACCCCTCTGATGCTTGCTTGCAATTTGGGAAGTTGCTGGGGGCGGGGAGGCAGGAGGGCTCGGAGAACTCCCTGAGTTAGGAAAGGCTTTGGGATGGCTCTACCAGTCCTGGAGGGGCACCCACTTCCTGGGACCCCAATTCCTGT